AGAATCTGAGAGTTTACTATTATTAGAAGTTCTAATATACTGGCCGTAAATTTTAGATGGAAAAGAAGTAAGATGAGGTTTGAATTAAAATTGGTATCTTTGTTTGGGTGGCAAAACTATGTTATTAAAAATGTTTTTATGCATGTTTTGTTTTAGTGTATATAGAGATAGACAACAAATAATCATCACTACGTTATGTCACCTATAATTTATGCGTAAACACAAGTATTTACCTGAACATGCATAATTGCATATATGCTTGGACAAATCGAAAATCAATATTTAATGAAAATAACACTTTAGGCCACACCAATTTGATTCTTTGTTCTTTGGATTTTCCCGCTCCTGTTTTGGAGAAATTGACTTTTCAATAAAAAAAAATTACTGCTTCCGGGTATTTGTGGTCCGCATGACGCCCCAATAATAGTTTCTCCTTGAAAATTTTGTTTCGCATAGACGCTTTTCTTTTGCATATAATGCTCCAATCGTTTCAAACCCACATGTGATAAATCGATTTGAAAATAAAAAGTCTAAAATCGGGATGCAGTTGTGTCAATTCATTGCTGTGGACAAGTAGTAATATTATTGAACACACAGTTATCCGATATGCTTCTCGTTTTACTTTGAAGACCTGTTCCATGATTCAAAGATTAAAAATCTTTCGTTAAATGACTACAAACACTTCACTTCAGTGTTTGTTAAAACATCACCCCCGATCCTTGTTTCAACAGGCATAGACTATCATAGACCTATCTGTCTTGGATGAAACTAATTGTAAATTCCCATTAACTTTTGTTAAAATCACAGAAGTATTTGATTTTGATGAAAACTCGTATCCCCCTATTAGTCTTTTGGCGTGCAAGCAGAACTCTTATTTTTTTTGGGGGGGGGGGGGGGGGGATTTAAAGGGTACCAACGAGACCAAGGTGATGGTATTGTGATTGGCATGCTCATCGTAATAAGGGGTATGTAATTGGTTCACCCACTTCTAGTCAAGCTAAAGAGTTTTAAATAATTTCCTGCTTTTAGGAGCAAAAAGAAAGAATATTTTGCTCTGTCAGAATAATAGATCTGTCTTTTATGTTGTAATGTTATACCACTGTTTCAGGTTAGGGTGAATGTTGGCGCCTGTTAAAACGTTGACACCTGCTGCATTTTTATGCACCTGTCCTAAGTCAGGAGCCTGTTGTTCAGTGATTGTCGGTTGTTGGTGTGGTTCATAATTGTTTCTCGTTTTTTTATATAGATTAGACCGTTGGTTTTCATGTTTGAATTGTTTTACACTAGTCTTTTTGGGGCCCTTTATAGCTTGCTGTTCGGTGTGAGCCAAGGCTCCGTGTTGAAGGCCGTCCTTTGACCTATAATTGTTTACTTTTTACACATTGTGACTTGGATGGATAGTTGTCTCATTGGCACTCATACCACATCTTCTTGTTTATACTGAATGGGATGACAGGCATTTTAAGGGAATATTTTAATACCTAGGGATCTACATATGTAGCAATATAACTATCTTGCTCAGCATGTTGTTTAAGTACAAAGGAAGAAATATTCTCATCGCTCATTATTTTGATCCTGAGTATAGATGAATAGTTTCCAACTGGATGTCAAGCAGCCAATAAACAATCATTACCATATAATGAAAACAACTTCTATTAGATATCTTTCAGGGGCATTTGTTTGGATACATACACATATTTTAATTTTATACAACAACATCTTATAGAGCTCTCGCCTAAAATAAATCACTTCAGGAAAAAAATAAAAACAAAAAATTTCGCTCGCTCGCCCCATATTTTTTAGAGCTTTGTCCGATGAACTGGAGGCTTTATAGATCTCGTGCGTCCGAGGTGCTTTTCTGGATTTACCTTCATCAGGAACGCTCGAACATAAACATTGAAAGCTATGAATGTATAAATGTGTAGAAAAGATCGGAGCTATATGACCAACAGTGACCTAAAATAGCATTTAACTAACTTAAAAGTCAACTTTGCCTGAGGGAGTTAAACTAATAAAACAATAGTTCAGAAAACCAAGCTTTTACATTCTGACGGATAAGTCCGTCTTCAAGTATCTTTACACTTGTTCAACACAATGTACACATTACGTACACAATGCTTGGGCTCACTCTTACAACCTGCCAAACAGTGTTTCACTGATATTTCTTGTCCAATGAAAGTCTCGAGGACAGAAAATGGATATTCTAGACACAAAACTACCTCATCTCTTTATCTATATTGGCTTGGCAATCATACCACATCTCTTTATTTCATATTGGTTTGTCAATCATACCACATCTTCTGAGTTTATATTGGCTTGGCGATCATAACACATCTTATTCTTATTGGATGATTTAGTGCAAATAAGAAATTCTTGGTTCCTTCACTGGCGGTAGTACACATACCCCTTGCAATGCAAAAACAGTATATTTCGTTCCATGTGTGAAGGGTGACACGAATGAAAAAAAACAGGTATGGTACGTGTCTGTCTTCTTATATAATATATACATATGTTTTTATTTTTGCTCAATCTTTTACAATTATAATATCCAGAAAGGGCAACTCCTGCTCGCATGATTCGACGTTTTTAATGAATGGGTGAAATTTGAATTCCAGACTCGGCAAATCTCCTAGATTGTGACTGTTGTTCGAAATGATAAAACAGTAATATAAGACTTGTTTCCATTCTGATTATACGTAAAGTTTAAACGCTGTATAAAACTAATTTTTGATTTGTTGAAACATTTTTGTTAAAAAAAAACTATATATATGTATTTGAACCATTATATATATCCCTGAAATCTCTTGGTAAATTTCAACAAAGTGGTGCAATAAAATTATTAGATTAAAAGATACCATCTTGTAGCAAAAACAGGCAAGGTCAATTTCCTTCTATTTTTTCATGCTAAGGTCAATCACGAAAAGTCTTTCAATCTTTAGTTTTCTTGTAATGCAAGGTTGAGGTTATAGTTAGGAGAGTGACGTTTATATAAGATAAAAAAGTTAAGTTAATATGATAGAGTGGGGCGTCGGACCGCTTAGGTAAAATCGGCCGTAATTTTCCCTTCTTCCTTCCTTTGCTTCATCATCTGAATCACTTCTCTAGTGCCCATTTCTATTTCCTGCATTGATTACCTTTAATATGTACATTCTGCATATTGCAGAATTATTTGGATGTTATATTCTTTAAAGATTTCAATTTTTTTACACACAAAATTGACTTTTTTTATACAATACACATAAAATCGACAAGTAAGTATAAAAGGAACAAAAGAAAAATAATTCATAAATGGGGTTAGAACTTTAACTGATTTTAGTGAAGAGTTCACCAGAAGGACATATTTTTGTACTGTTAATTTTGTTCATACGCCATCTTTAAAGTATAAGGGGTTTGACAGATTGATCTATTATCAAGAGCGCACATTGTTTGAATAAGTTTAAAAAAAAAAGGGAATAGTCCGATGCACAGTTGAAAATGTGCCATGTGTCTGAAGCATCGGTTAGAAAAGGGAAATAAACTATTCCAGGTGATGAAGAGAAAATAAGTCATTCAAAACAGGAAGTCTAAAAACAGATTTTTTTTATTCCATGGTCGCTACACGGAGAGACAAACACATAACATATCTGAAACATAGAAAGAAAGAAATAGAAAACATATAAATGTACTTGTTTTATGAAAAAAACTATTATATAATTTAATCAAATGTCATTACAATTGGGTCAGGTGCCGTGGAAAAGCTTAGCATTGATATTCCTCTATAGATCAGAACGACTAAAGCAAATAAAACCAACCCCTAAAAGATAAGGAGATTTCCTTAAACATACATTTCTATTAGAAAACAAATATGAAGACTCGATTCAAATCACTCAAGCAAACTATTTTTCTCATCGTGGGTCCTTTAATTTGAACCGGCAAGGTATGTTATCTTATCTGTAAGCTTTTAAACAAACAAGTCATATTGACCTCTGTATCTGCATATAACAAAACATTATTGCAATGGTTGTGATGCTTTATAATTCATAAGGTAAAGTTAATTGTATAATCTTCTGCAAATCTTCCCAAATAGTTTGTTGCGCATGAAACATTTTTAATTTCAATTTAATGTGTATGGTAAAAGATAAATGGCTCACACTAGAAATAGGAACAGTTTCCTTTTAAAAGTCTTAACAAAAATGAGGCCGTACGGTTATCTTTAATTGCTTACATCTATTTCATTTGAACTTTGGTGGATAGTCATTGGCAATCATACCACGTTTTCCTATTTTTTAATATGTGTAGTAGATGGATTCCTATGCGTAGGAATAACATTTAATAAGATCTAGGGTTCTGATGATTTATTACCAGCAGATAAAAACTAATTCTGAAATAGCAATATAACATATATAAATAATTAGCTATAATTTCGTATAACATAAGTATTTATTTTTACGAAACATCACAGACTATATAATACAGAAATATAATATGAAATAATACATCATCATGTTGTTTATCTAAGTAATATGTAATTTTCAGTGTTTACATATATTGAAATTGACATCTGTGTCACGTGTAGTTTTCTATATAAGTCCTTTAAATCACGCACTACATCGGTATTTGGTTTTGACTATTAAGTGTTTCACGACCTTGACTTTTAAGCCCTTTCTTTAATCTTTATTTAAGCCGTTTATATTATATTTATTAAAGCCCTCGCACGATCAGTATGTGATCTCTAAACGGTGTGGTGAGTGTATTTACAACTGCATGGCTACTTTACGTACAGTGTGTAATTAATGCTATAACAATAACTTCATTAAAATATATAATACTTATAATAATAAACTACATTTTATCACACAGCAATCATAAAGTTGCAGATATCATAATCTTAAAGACTAATGATGTCAATATTATTGATTCGTTAAATCTCCAAACCTACGAAAGATAACTCATGTTTACTATACAATATTGTTGGTCGGCTACACATAATGCCAAACTATAATTCAATATACTATTCCAAGTTCCCCCTTCGGTACCTCGAATGTATAAGATAGCAAGGTCACTCTTAGTCTAATCTTAACTCGATTGGAGGTCATACTGTCGTGCAGACGCTAATGGATCTCTTATAAATAATAAATCGATACCGATCAGACAATGATGCGAAACTTCAACAGTTCGATGGAAAGAGTTTGAGCACATTCGTCAGTAAAGAAGTTTTAATGCAAGTAGCCACCAAAATAAAGTTACAATTAAATGACATTTTAGTGTTTCTGGATATCGATGATTCTAGAGAGAACTTATGCAAAGTTGTGAATTTTGCCTTCGAGCAGAAAGATGCATTGAAGGAGGAGGATACGGTGACAGAAAAACCTCTTAAAATAGAAAAAAAAGAAAAAAAAAAAGAAACTAAAACTTCAGAAAACAAATCGTCAGGGGTAAGTTTTCGAAACATTTGATATAACAAAGGTGCATGAGAAAAGAATACGATGAATGTAAAAGATAATTAATACAGAAATTAACGTATTACAAAGGTCATCGTATGTGTGTATTATGTATATATGGCATATGTTTTAATTAAAGAGTTCAAAATAAAAATTATGCACGTGCTAGAGTGAACTTTATCGGAACGACAGTTGTACGTCTGTGGTATTTTCATACTGAATATGTAAAGGAAAATTAATGTTACATATTTAGTTATAGATAATTTGTTCATATTTGAACGGGTGCATATATTTCACAGTTAATATATTTGTTTAGGAAAGTGAGAACGGAAGAATAGAAAGTTCTTTAAATAGGTTGAAAAATGTTTTGTTCGGGTATTTTACTTGAACGTGAAGACCAAGAAAATCTGTTTATATTTTATGTTACTGTAATTTTTGAAATTCAATGCAATTTGTCTAGAGAATAGTGTTCGGGTAAGATGCTCGAACGTGAACCGAGGTAAAATACAAAGTTAACAAAATTTCTTTAGAGCGAGTATAATGCTCGTAAGTGGAAAGAAGAAAAATAGAAGAAAATTGTTCAAGTTTTTGAACTTGTAAAAGTATTTAGTGGTTAAAATATAATAGAAAAAGAAAACATATAACTTTAGATATTTTTATTTTGATATAACGATTATTGTTCGTGCTTTTATGCGGAACGTGAATATTGTTTGGGCGTTTATGCCGAACGTGAATATTGTTCGGGCTTTTATGCCGAACGTGAATATTGTTCGGGCTTTTATGCCGAACGTAAATATTGTTCGGGCTTTTAGGCCGAACGTGAATATTGTTCGGGCTTTTATACCGAACGTGAAATTCTGATATTGTTCGGGCTTTTATGCCGAACGTGAAATTTAAATAGTGTTCGGGCTTTTACGCCGAACGTGAAATTCTGATATTGTTCGGGCTTTTATGCCGAACGTGAAATTTAAATATTGTTTGGGCTTTTATGCCGAACGTGAAATTCTGATATTGTCCGGGCTTTTATATGCCGAACGTGAAATTTAAATAGTGTTCGGGCTTTTATGCCGAACGTGAAATTCTGATATTGTTCGGGCTTTTATGCCGAACGTGAAATTTAAATATTGTTCGGGCTTTTGTCGAACGTGAACATTGTTCGGGCTTTCATGTCGAACGTGAATATTGTTCGGGCTTTTATGCCGAACGTGAATATTGTTCGGGCTTTTATGCCGAACGAGAATAGGGAGAGAGAGGGGGGGAAATATCATAATTTATTGTGCATGATGCTCAGTCGTGAAAAGAAAAAAAAAAAGGATGAAGATGATGTTAGCAATTTGTTCAAGATTATTGTTTCTTGAACGTGTACGAATATATTTTAAAGCTGTTGATCTGAAATATGAGAAGAAAGAGGGAAAAAAAGTGATATGTTTCCTTAAGGCGATTTATGGGTTCATGATTCGTGTTCGAACGAGTTAGGAAGAATTTACTTGATTTTATTATTATGTAAATTAGAGAATGTCACAAAAGAAATTTGTTCTGGATCATGCTGGAATGTGAATAGAAAAAATGATTTTTATTTATTTTTATTTATTTTTTTCATATCGGCAAAAAATAGAAAATTTAGAAAAAGGAAATGAAAACAAAAATAAAAGAATAAAAGCTTGAATATCTCAAAATTTGTTTGACTTTGATGATAAGGGAGAACATGCAATAATGCGAAATTTACCCCCCCCCCCCCCCCCCCCTTAAAAAAAAAAAAAGATAAGAAAAAGAAAATAAAGAAAACGCAATATATGTTTGCACAAATTCAGAGACATTAAGATTAAAGAACGTGTGGGTGGAGTGCCCGAAAATGAGTGAGTAAAAAAAAAAGATATTTGCACGAATTGAAGAGATAAAATTTAGTTCAAGAAAATAGTAATTTTTATTTAGTGTTTCGGATGCATATACTACATTTTGAGACAAATACTGATAACTATAGACATAAAAGGTGGATATACTAAGAAGGTTTGAGGGTGATATGAAATGTGGTGTTCAAAAGCTGTATTTTTGAACTCGAGGTAAAAAGGTTTAAGACAATTTTGTAATTGAATGTCAAGTACGAATTAGAAAGAGTTGTTTTACGTGTTATATTGTGGGCTTTGAAAGGAAAAAGATCGTTATAGTAAAATAGTTAAAGATAAGAAAAGAACATAATATGAAATACGGGAGAAAATGGAACCGAAAATTGTGTAATAGTGTATGAATAGCATGCTTATTTTAGTATCAAACTGTACTAGTATAGAATTGGATTTATGGTTGTTTAATATAATAGTAAGATAATAAGTGACATTATAATTGCTTTGTTTATTTACATTAAGGAAAATGACTGTGTACACCATTTTGTAATACGTGTAAGGAGTGTCATAAAGGTGTGAACTAAAGTCCGAAACTGAAAGTAAAAAGTAGTATCGGCCACAAACAATTCTTAAAATATCCTATATATATACTTGATAAATCTCAAACTGAAGTGTTTAATGATTTTTGTATAAATAATCCAAACATAAAAATGAACCAAAGAACATTTGAGAGATTAAAGCCGTATTTTGTCCGGTCAGCAAGACAAAAGGATCGTGTTACGTGCTGTTGTCGATGTAGTAAATGTGGACTTTCGTTATTAAAATTTACGGACGAAGAGTTGAATGTTTCGGATGATGCTCCCAATGTATCTTGGGAACGGTACGAATAGATCACTGTGATTTCTAAGAAAAAACTTACACTTGTCAGAAAATGCACTAAACCGGGTGATATGATTACTTACTTTAGAGAACTTTTAGATAAATTCGCTGGACATCAGTTCCGTGCACAGTGGCAAAATCTACAACTTAAATGTTTGAAAGAAAACTTATTACCTAATCACAGTATTATAATTTATGACTATTCCGAAAACTACGGTTGCAAAGAAAAGTTTGAACTTCAACAAACTTATTTTCAGCGCACCGAGGTATCTTTCCATGTGTCCGTAATTTATCGACATGCAATTCTAGAGGTAGACGGAGTAGAAAGTTTGCCAGATATTCCATGTATTATCACTGAACATTTCTTTGTAATAAGAATATGAACTTTTCATTCGAAATTATTTCGAAACTTCTCACGCAAAGGGACCTCAGGACGCAGCCGGGGGCTTTTTAAAGAATCAAGTAGACATGGCTGTTTTTCGCGGGAACGAAATAATACAATCTGCGGCAGATTTTTTTTTAAATATTGCGGGAAACATTTGAAGGACACTAAGTCACTGTATTGTAAGCGCCGAATATTTTTGATATGTCGAGAGTATAGATCGTGACACAATATCTTTTAAACCCGTTCCTGGTATTAGAAGTCTCCATCAGGTTTTTTATTCTTTGGACGAAGCTAATTTAACAGTTAGGTACCTGTCATGTTATTCTTGTGAAAACTGTTTGGTTGGTACTTACAAAGACTGCATAAATAATTCCATTGGAAGTAAGGTGACCATACCGATAGTTGTCGAGAACAACCGAACCCGCCATTCGGGTCCCGCAGAATATACGGAAAATTACGAAATGGAAGTCCTCATTGCGCTTGGCACAATACTGGCAGTATACACTGATGAATCAGATTCAAATTATTACCTTTTTAAAGCAGATGCTTGTCCCGAAAATCTTAAAAAGGACACTACCGATAATTGGGGCGTAACTTACGTAAAGGGATCCAAAGTTGTTCGTGGTTTATACTTTGACCAAACAAAAAAAATTTTGTCGTATAAACTATTGGATACATGTAAGAAACATTCCATCATTTCCATTGCATCTGTTATTTACATTTCACCAACTCTTCAATGTTTGACACGTGGAACTCTTAGTCTTCTGGAAACTACACATCTTGACATTTTATCAGTATTGGATGAAATGGAAGGAGCACAATAAAGTTATTGTTTAAAAACTCTTTTTTCCATAAAAACATATTATTATATCCCCCAGCAAAAAAGGTTTGGGCTATATAGGAATCACCCTGTCCTTCTGTCTGTCCATTTTCCTTGTAAGAGGTAATCCTTATAAATTATGACGGATATTAATGAAACTTTACACAATGTCATGTAGTTGTAGTACACTAGCTAAAGATGTGCATGCAGGAAGATAGATCACTTCGTTAAATATTACAATATAGGGTAATATATAGTCTTGTTATGTAAGCGCAACTTAGGGAGCTACCATTTGATTTTTAGGGGGGGGGGGGGGGGGGGGGGGGGGGGGGGCTAGGATGAAAAATTTTGTCCTGCATTTTTTTTCAGTTGTAATCTCTGTCCTGCCTTTTTAGTTTTTCACTCTATTCGGTCCTGCCTTTTTTTTTAAAGTTTGTCCTGACTTTTTTTACCTAAATTGTCATCCTGACTTTTTTTTTTTGCAAGTGTCTCATCCTGCCTTTTTTTTTTTACTCAAAACTCCTGTCCTGCCTATTTTTTTCCAATTTCATCCTAGCCCCCCCCCCCCCCCCCCCCCCCCCCCCCCCCATAAAAAATCAAATGGTAGCTCCCTTATTCTAAAACGTTTATTGGATTTCAATGAAACTTTACATTAGTGTAGTATACTATGTGCATAGATGTGCATAAAAAATAATAATGTAGTCTGACAACTGTTACTTGATATATTCTTAATTTGAGGGGGAAAGGGGGAGGTGATCGTGATCACAGTTCTCGTTTTATCTGTATTAAAATTAGATTGAAATGAATCATTTTAAAAGATGTCAAATGGTTTGCAATAAGTGTTCATATTTATTGTATTGGGAATACATATCATTATAGTACAATTGTTATTAACTTTACTTATTCTAGAAGTATTTTTGTAGCGTCTGAACCATAAAAAACGTCCAATTTAGCGATAACGTCTGTTACGCTTATAGACACGAACATCGAGCGTAACGTCTGATATAAAAAAAAACAATTATTTACTATGGTTGAAGGTGGTCTGGAGGGTTGAATATTAGATCATAATTAG